AATTGTATGCTCTCCTGTAGTAGTTCATTGAACCACAATACTGATAAGTAATTAATAAAAGTCAAAAGACCAAAGAGATCACCTTAATACCAAAAAAAAAAAAAGAAGGTCATTAAAAGTGTAAACTCTTGATATCATAACAAATATAAGTTTTATAACAAATTTTCTATTATCAATATCTATTACAGTTTTTGATAATGTTAAGTCTTATGATTTATGAATCATAATTGTTCAACAAGATATAAAGAAAATTGTATATAAGAACAAATTTTCAATTTTTCTTCTCAAATATATTTGATTGAATGAATTGGTACCATTTATGAACTATTTGGTATAGATAAAATAAAATCCATATAATTGTTCATCTTGAGTAAAATTATTGTAGACAATAAAGATGACTTCTTTCCAAATTTATATACAATATTAATAATTGTACCTATTGTACTATTAACTAATTCTTGACTTATCTAAAGATTAGAGATAAAGATTATACAGGTTCTAACTGATAAAAATAAAACCAGCTTAAGACCATTTGTTAGATCAGAAGATGCTTTTTTAGTATTTGAACCAGTATGTATGACTTTTATTTTAGCAACAGATGAATTGATTTGTTTTAGTTTTAATACATTATATTTATGAACTTTTTTCTATTTAGTAAATAATCTAAGTGCATTTTCAAATATAACTTTTTTTACTAAAAGTAATAATGAATAAATCCTATTGTTAATCATCTTCTATTGATTGTCCATCATGTAAGTACAAAAGAAGATTATGAAATATATGCTACATTTTAGAATCACTAGTTTGTTATTGTATTGTTTCCAATTTAAATGCTTTATTAAATTGAGTATATATTATTCAATCTGCTTCTAAAAGAGAATCATTTAATCAAGTATCTAATGCATATATAGAAAGGTTTAAAACTGATGGTAACTGACTGAAGTCACCAAAAAACAGCACAAAACAACCTCCAAATAAAATATTTTGACTTTGTAAAAAAACCTAACATAAATGCTGATCTATTACTGCAAGAAGTTTATAACCAATCATACTTTTTTTATTAAAGATAATAACTTTAACACTTTTAAATTTTTGTTGAAACTTATTTAATGATTTAGGTTTAAGTTCTAAATTTTTAAGATTCATAAGTAATAAGAATGCTGAATAAATAGTGCTACCATTTATATTAAATGCAGCAACACCAGTTGGGGCAAGAACTAATATAGTAGGTTCTTCACATGGATTAATTTGATGCTGTTGCACTATTTCAAACATACGATCATGAATAGCTTTAATGACATAAGATTTGCCTATACCAGCCATACCCATGAAATAGCACGCAAAGGCTCAATTGATTGATCAGCTGGATTTGTTATAACTGTGCAATAATATGAAATTACATAATCATAAATTTGCCTTGGCTTTTTATTCAATGTAATAGGATCAATAAAGCTTTCATTACTATTATGATAGTAATTTGAACTGAAGAAAATATCCTCAATTGGTTAACTGAACTGGATTATTTTATTCAACCGATTAAAACCGGTTGAGATTTATAATCTCTACTTCTTGTTCTACCTCGGAAATTTTCGGAGCTTCACTCAACTTTTTGTTTCAACCTTGCTCGTCTCTTATCCGGACCTTTTCGAAATCTTTGCTCTTTCTTGGTCATTTACATACTTTATCGATCCTATCAACCGGTTACCCGATTCTCGACCGGTTGTACCGGGTCAACCGATTATAGCCCAACCGGTTCAAATCACTAATATAGATAAAGATTTACTGATTTCATAATTTATTGTTAATAGTATTATTAGCGTTAGAAATCAAGTACTGTATGATTAAACACACGAGTTTCATTCACATTCAAATTCAGCATAAATATTAGCAAATACAATATCTAATAAGACGATTTATTTAATCAAATTCACAGAAATTTATGTACAAATAATCAAGAAAAGATAGCAAATGAATAATATTAATAGAGCTATATACTAGTATATGATAATTAAATTATTTATTCACACCAGTAGTGTTGTAATTTTTTGCTAATTTGAAATACTTCATATTCATCTACAGAAAAATGAGAATGATTTCCTTTATAATGATATGTAGATTCATCTCTAATCCGTTTTTCATATGATTGTTGACAACACCAACATTGACTATCTTGATTAAGATTATTTCCCATACGTAAATCACTACCACTACCAAAAGTTAGACCATAAAAAGAATCACAACAAATTGCAAAGTGTGGATTTTCTACACGACTTAAAGTAGAATTTTGAATAGTACCATTTTTCAATGAAAAGATGAAGCAATCTTCGCAATACTTGTAAAAATAAACATCTTCAACTGGTTTATTCCATCCGATAGGATTATATCCACCAAGAATTTCATCAGTACCCTTAACCTTTATAACTACAACGAGATGTGTTTGCTTATCACATAAATTCCAAAATGTTTCAGCAGTAAAACCATCTCTAGTTCCACGAAGAAGTAATTTAAATTCATATGGATTATTTGTTACGGAATATGGAATAGTTTTTTTATCAATCCATGAAGTAATTTCTGCTGCATGTGTATCGTTAATAATTGTCGAAAATGGTTCAGTACTTGATGATGATGTTAAAGTAATATGAGATGGAAGAATTTCTGATAATGTTGATCGATTCGGAGATATGAGTCTTTTTGTTATATCATCCCATAAATTTTTTTCAAGAATTTCTTGATATGGTTGTACATTATCAATAATATCATCTCCCGACATCTTAAAATAACGGATAAGAGGCAAACAATTTTTCAAAGTGGTCTTTAAAATTTGAAAATTTTCGTGGGTCCAGTCTTTAGAATCTAATGGTAAGCCGGGGTTTTGAGCAATTCCCCATTCAATAACATGATTCCAAAGTTTTGCCTCTTCTATTTGTAAGTCATTTCTACTAATAAGAGATACCAAAGCATTTTCATGAAGTGTGACGAAGTCTTCTGAATTAAAAATCACATCTGGATCTTTTACCGCAATATCGTTGCACCAATTTTGTAATTTTTGAGGCTTACTATTTTGAAAACTTTTTTGATAAATATAATTAAAATGTAAACGAAGCCATTCAGCTTCCACTTCAATTAAATAAGTTTCAAGATATTTTGCTAATTCTTCAAAAAGAAATTCATAAGAAATAATCATAAGCTCAAAAATAAATGATGCGTCATAATTTTCAAGTAAGACTATTCCACCGTAGATATATCTTTATAGAAAAATTAAATTTGATATTAGATATTAGATATTTTTTTCTTTATAAAATGATATAAATGTATAAATTAACAAACCTGATAATAATTTCAAATTGTTGGATAGAAATTTCTTTTAAATCAAGTGTTTTAATATTATTAACATCTTTGCCGATATTTGCCAATTGATTACGAAAATAAAAGGATCTGTGTCCTAAAATTGCTGAATGTGCTTGGAATATTTTAACACTTGGAGATTCCCCAACATTAATGATTACATTAAAATCATCTTTATCATCAAGAAGTTCAAGATAATTATTCGAAAGTTCTTCAAAAAATGTTGTTGCTACCATTTTAAATATTTGTAAAAGTCTGCGGTTTGTATTTGTCGGTAGAATTCCTTTTTAAAGTTAATAACGTTAGAAATTTAAATTGGCGTAATAAATTCCAAATAATAAAGTTGCCACACAATTATGTCAATCAAAATACTACTAATAGTTATTCATTGTATTAACGAAAACAAATAGTTTATTCTGAGCTCATTGATCAGTTAATGATTATACTCACCAAATCAGAAGAGATATATAATAAATAACATCCCAATAATAAATAACCAATAATTTCTTTTATCGTAATTATTGTATTATAATTATATTGATTATATAATTGTTAAATGATGCAAAGATGATGCAAGATCTGCAAAACCATTTTCATTCGTGACATATGATTCATAACTTTAAGTTGCTGATCACTACCTTTTCTCATGCAATGTTAACCAATCAGATTTAGTGAAGAGGCATTTGCATAGGGGGTTACATATCAACCTGTGTGAAAATTCAATAACTAAATAATAAATGCAACTAATAAAATGCTAAATTATCACGCTGTGTGTTGTAGATTAGATTTTTGGTCAGGGGAATGCCCGTCGGGAAGTTAAATCTTCATTATATTTGGGTATAGTTATATTTTAAAGTTACGCCAACCAACGTATTCTAATACATCTGATAAACAGTTAAAATTTGAAAAAAATTATCGTTATATGCACGATTTATATTGGTATTTATTAGATTGCCATAAAAATCGTTATATATAATTAAATCGGGGATATAAAGCAATTATTATTGTGTGTTTAGGGAGTTGCAGGAAAATTTGTATGACAAATCAGGACTAATCAGTGGAAAGCAGCATATTACCTTGAGTGTTTATCGTTAATTTATTATACGTGCGCACGTACGTGCATTGCAAACACTGTTTAATTATATGTATCTAAAACTAGAAAATTAAAAATAGAAATTAAAAATTACTATGTAATATATTTGCTCTTTTTCTTTGACATTTTACCATTTTACTTGATACTTATGAAAATTGACTTCAAAATGTTTTTTAATCACTTTAGTTTTAATTACAATTATTGTAAACCCCGCTCTTACTATGCTTCTATGTTGAAATTTTTAGCTTTTTACACCTAATTGGACATAGTAGCAATCAAAATCGATAAGAAATTGCCATACTGTATTCTGAATTAAGTGTATAAAACTGGTATATATGAATTATGAATTAAATTAATAATAATCTATTATTTTTTAATTTTGATCGCAAGTATAAAATTAATTTAAACTTTAATAATATATTTAACTGTAAGGGCAAACTTTTCTAATTATTTGTGTATAAATTTAAATTATATATTAACCGGAATATAAAATAAATTTACAAATTAAAAATTTTTTTGAACAGAACTTTTAATTAATTATATCAATTTTAAATAAGAAAATAACCAATTATACCGTGTAACGTGTAAAGCAAAACAATTTGTATAAAACGAAAAGTTAAATGCTGCCTAAGGTTAGGGTAAGGGTTAGTTTGAGAAATAGTTTATACCAAAATTTTACAAAGGAATTTTTTTAATTAATACCCAAAAGATGGTTTCATAAGCAAAATTGTGAGTTATAGATGATTTTTAAAAAACGCATTAATTTTACGTTACACCTGATCGTTGGCTTTCTACGTATATGTCCGTGTTCAGACACCCCGTGTACAAATAGAAACCCCTTTATATAATTAGCTGTAATGGTAAATATAACATTAATTTATAAGGTAAAAACATTAGAGAGGTTTTAAAAGTAATAAATAAGTGCGCATTTTAAAACTAAATGAGAGTTTGAAAAACCTTATTTTGTATTTCAAATTGTAATTCGGAGTGGGAGTGCTCGGAAATATATCACCAATTTCAATTAAAAATTAGAAAACCCCTTATTATTATAATTATTTGAAAATCATTTCACTCAATGAGTGAAATGATTTGCAGGTTTTCCCTTTTCGTCACTCATTTATTATTAGATTAAACTTTATATTCCACGGCCCTAAGTTTTCCCGTGAACACCTTGATGGTATTTTTATAATGACGTAATGCCGTGAAAATATCGCATATCGTAAATGTGTACAAGGTTGGCGGCGAAGACTAAATTATTAAAATTCGTTAAGGTTAGAGTTATGGTCAAAGTTATGATCTAGTGAGAAAGTGTTTATACAGTAAAATTGGTCAACGAAAACTTTTTGTTAAAGCACAAAAGGTGGTTTCTTATGCTAATTTTTGAGCCATGAGCAATTTTTAGCAGAACGAATGTTTGTTTTTGAATCTTTCTGATCGTGTTACGTTACGTTCAGGAGATCTGCGCCACCAACCTTGTACACATTTACGATGTGCGAAAATATCGCACGTCCGTAATTTGTGACAGGTTAAGCCACTAATTTCAATCACCGTCTGATTATATTCCCAGAGTAAGACTTGACTGTCATAAACTATTAAAAAAAATATCTCATAAATTCAAAAGTGCTTTTGATATTAACTAACAAATAATTCACTAGTATATTATAATTACTTTAAGCAAAGCAAACAATATATCGTTTCTTTAACCGTGCTATTGTTCAACACATTCTTCCTTAAAAGGTACTTTTTTTACTTAATTATACCTCTTTCGAATAAAGATAACTCGAGCTGAATTCTTCTTTCTTTCATAAAGACAAATATTCGGGAGATTTTATTTTTGTTATATTACATTGATCTTTGAATTTATCGGCAATTTACATTAATAACT